CTCGAGAACCTCCACTTATAAACATTGTTTAGCCTGATAGCTTCCTTTTCAAAACAACTTTTGCCATTTTCCTTCAGCTAATTCTACTGTTTCAGTAGCCAGTTCTTTTTTTTCCAATTCTTGCACAACTTCTCCAGCTGAAGCAATTGTATCTTACATGGCATTGTATCAAATATTTAAGCAGAGTCTTGTTGCTTACTCTTAACTGTCAATTATTTATCTAAGGCAGATAATAAATTAATGCTCTCAAGGTTCAGTTTATAATGGAAAGACAAATTTTAGTAGTCTGCTTATTCCAAGAGAGACTACTTATAACCCTCACTTAGATTTTTAAGAGTTTTGCTATTTTAATAATTTAGGATAATGAAAACATGACAATAAGCTTGATTTAACAATGAGACAATTAAGGGAGAAAGTTTTTTCCCCTAATTGGAGACTTCTATCCACATTGTGTTCTGAGGGGAATGCTCTGGGGTAGCCTTTATTGGACAGCACTCAGATGGGTGTAACAAGCTCCGCCAGCAGCCTGCAGGACTCACTGAACACATACAATAAATACAATCCTACTGCAGCCTAAAAGCAAACACACCTTTTACAGACATCATTTTCTCTTTGTCTACATGAAGAAGCTCCTCCAGGATGAGATAAGCGTGACACTGAAGCCATTCAGTTGTAACTCCATGAATGAATGTTTTCATCCTTCACCAAGACCTTTGTGGCTGAGCTTTCCCAYTTCTAAATGGAACAGCAATGATTCCTTTGCAGCTGACCAAACCCACGACTAGCAGAAAACAGGTTATTTGCAAAAGCTATGCCAGCTATTTTCACAATACCTTTGATGACATGGTTTCAAAATTCTACAGTGAGAAAAAATTCTTACTCTATCATTATGGTTTTTTTTTGCATAGGAGCTGTGTAGGAAAAAAAAAAACACCTGAATGAATGCCAGAAATGGAGCATGCAATCCCAGGGATGATTGTTACTATGGTTTCTTTATTAAGAATTACCCACTTCCACTGAGCTTGTAACTGTTCTTGAGTTAAATATTACCCAAGTGAGTAAGCAAAATGCTGCATGTCCTCTGAGACAGCTGTAGGACTGCTTCTGTTTCCAGTGAAATCAATGTAAATCCCACATTTCTGCAACGAATGAATCCAAACTCTTTCACTCCCTTATGGATGTGTGCCCACACCACATGCTGTATGTCCATGTAAGATGTTTCTCCAGTGACCACTTGACAGTAACCCAGGGTTTACAAACAGAAAATTCCTACCCTTCTATAAAGAGAATAACATTTAGTCTCTGTGACAGTAAATAAACCCACCACTTCTCCTGCTTATCAGATGTGCTTCCTTCCTGTAACAGGAATTGTATCACTGCACTGATGGGAAGAAAAGGGATTTTTTAAAAATGGTTGTTTTATCTTCACTTTCACTGAGACAGAAATTCTAGACTGATTCACAGATGGAAACCCCAAATGCCATGCAGCAAAGCATTCATCTATGGACAGGAAACAACACGGGTTTGATAGGCTAATGTAAAGGTTATGCCCCTTTTAAGTACATTTTAAAAGACTGTACAGACACCTTCCTTAATACTCAAGAGAAAAAACAAGGCACACATAAAAACCTTGAACCATAAAAGGCCAGGGAAGTGCAGTTTCTATATGGCCCTACAGATTGGCCTTGATCCTCTAACTGATTCCATTAAGTGACATTGTCACCAAGATATGTAGGAACAGAAGGAAACAGGAAGAAGGMAAAAAARAAAAGTGGCATTWGAAATAATGAGAATACAAARGCTACTGCARGTACCAAAKGCAGATGAGATCRAGAGGCATTAYTGAAGGAGCATTAAAATTACAGTAACTGGAACCAGGGCAAAGAACAGAAAGTCTRTAGAATAGGCTGGTTTAAGTATGTTTTTTTTTAAAAAGAGGTACTTTCAGCAAGACTCTGGAGGAGTACATGAAGATACTTATAAATGTTCACAGATACGAGTGTAAAACATCAGTGGGAAGGAGCAAGACTTTCTAATAAGTTCTCTTGAGGTATAACAATTRATCTCTGTTACACAAGCAGTTTTGRGAAATTTGAYTTTGCCTTTCTGTTCATTTTTTTAGCTTTGGAGACTAAAACTAGCTTTTTAAAAYATAGTAATTTTAAATCTGACCCTACAAAACCCTAAAGAAGTTAATAGATAAATAGCTGAATCGGACCCAGTCTGCTCCTGGAATGAATATCTTTTTCTGTAAGCTTGCCATAAGCACTCTGTTCTTCAAAGAAAAAGAAAGAAAAKAAATCCACACTAACTGAGTCAAGAAAAACTGTAATCTTCACTGTGAACCTAAGAGGCAAAATCCAGCTTYCTTAGCAACCCTCATCTACATGACACATCCACAAACAAGATGGAAATTCGCAGTGTGCCTTCCCATGAACCATAATCCAAATATATGAAAGATCTTCCCTATATACCTGCATCTGAAAATCATGTGAATGTAACACAGACCACATTTTTGTGGGGAACGAGTCACACCAACTGGAAGCTTTCTGAAATTAGAGTACATCAAGTGGGATTTTAGCCATATATAGACGTGAAACCTTTTTTGTGATGGTGTAACACTGCTGCAAAAGGAAAGGTTTGGATCTGAAGAAGAACTTCCTTAAGAAATGGGCCTTTTCCTTTCTGTTCTCCTTTCTGGTTCCCTATTCATGTAAAAATTATCCCAGGCTCCAGGACATAATTTCTGTTTTGAAAGTTCCTGTAAACCAATATCCTTATGAACAGCTCCTGCAAAAAGTGTAATTGCTACATGTGTAGGAACACATAAGCCTGAGCTTTGAGAGTTCACTGCCCTTGTCAACCCATGATTCAGCTGTGACATTAATTSTATAAATACATCAAAATGTTGGGCTTATTTGGCTYGGGATACTCATTTGGCTCACTTGTKTTAGCTGAGGCTCCCAGCTGYCTTTGAACATYAGTTACACAATAAATGGAYTGGTGAGATGCCTCAGTYAACCCATCAACCTGAAGGATGATGCAAAAGGCCCTTTGGAAATATTCCTGGGAAAAAAAAGTGATGCAAGAGATGGAGGAAGTAGCAACCCAACCCAAGKGCTACTGTTGCTAATGGATATGATGCACAAGCTGGAGCTACACTCTGTGGTTGTGGGAGGAAATTGGGGACTGTCAGGGCTCCCACAGGGCTCCAAGCCCTTCCAAGGAATAGCAACGTATCCATAGACTTAAGCTGTTGTTTCCATCACACAACATTGCTGAGAATTGAGCTGTCTTCCCCCGTACATCCTGCACAGACRTTATACAATTAACAAACCAATAAATTCCAATTAAAAAAATATGGACCAAAACGTTTCCTGCAGAACAAGAACRGCTCTTACTGATGGGGAGTGCACCACAGAACTTGGATATGACACCTAGTAATAAGCTGGAGTCAGTTTCTAGACTGATGTTCAGAAGATTAAATGTGCAAGGAGGAGGATTTTACACAAGGATCTGTATCTATGCTTCTAGAAGAAAGCCTTTGTGGAACACAAATCTTCTGAAGGATTCTGCTGGGATGGACTGTCTTGGCCTAGATGGCGAATTTCTCCTCCCATTTTTGAGGGTCTGCAGGGCTCCATACAAGAGTGTGCTTTTGCACCAGTCCTGACCTCAGTTAAATACTTTCCAGTCTCAGGTCAGTCGCACACACCTACTTATGAGACATGAAACATTCTCTCTCCCTTCACCCTAAGCCATAATAAATTTTCCCAGAATGAAWGTTGTTCATTTTCACCATGCTACCCCTTCTCCATTCCATCTCTAGTCGGCTCAAATCAGACAGTGCCATCCGGGGCCTGAAGGAATGCAGGTGTATGGATGGATATATGGAAGATAACTTCCTTTCTTAAGGATGACACAGAGAACAGTATCAAGGACATTATCCAAAATATCCAAAACTTCTGTTTCCCAGGCAGGCACTGCAGCAGATTTCCTCAGTGGGATGACTCAGTTCTTACAGGACCGTAAGGAACTCTGAAGACAGCATTTAGGCAGATGAAAATTCTGGAAATTCTCTTGGGAACAATCTAAAGAAGCCAACAGCTCATGTCATCCAGAGTTTCTAGCCTAAGACARTGACATGAAATGGCCCTTTAGAAGGCAGAGTTGACTACACAACTCCCTCAGTTCTGTCTTGGCAGTGATCACCAATGCACCATTCAACTAAAACAGCTAAAAAAACTAAAAAAAGTTTTTTAAAAAATTCAGACATTTCAGATCATATTCTGCTGATAAACTGTAATCCTGGTGAGGGGAGAAATCAATCCCACGAGTTTAACTGAAACAAAGCCAGATGCTAAAGTGAGAGTTGGCAAATGAGTGGGAATTTTTATTATCCAAAGGTGCTCTTTGAATGGGAAATACTGTAAAAAAAAAGACCTTTTGCTGGATCCCAAGCTACAGCATCCCTATTTCTAGAGGTTGACACTACTAGGAATCTTCAGAGAAAGTAAACACATTTCTCTGTGTATTTCTCAGTAACATTGCAGTCATACTTCCTTTTTGTAATYAAAAAGAAAAAGTTTTGTAACTAAAAAAAAAACAGAATGCTTTTCTTTCAAGCGTTATCAAACACCTTCAGTGTGAACATAGAACAAAATGCTTAGCAAAACTCTATTTGTTCTATCCACAGACACAATTTTCCAGAGGCAATAAGCAGGATGAAGGAAGGATAAAGATATTTGTTCATTTCCAGTGGGTGCATTAAAAGAGTGAATTTTAAAATCTGCTTTTTAAAACCATGTGTAAAACCATCCATCTGTTTGCTTTTCTTCCACACAGAGCAGACATCACCAGAAACTGGTTAAGCCATATTTTAAGGTATAAAACACTCCAGTGAAAAAWTCCAGCAGGGCTGATGATTTGAAATATTAAAGACTAAAAAAGCCCTTTTATTACACACACTTCAAAAGAAGAACCASTGAAGAGGTGATAAGTAAATAACAGAACAACTGACAGGAAGATCAGCATTAGACTTTGGCTTTGACCAGCAAATAAAAAGCAGAGGTGCTGTAAAGACATTGATAATTGAAGAAGGTGGAGAGCATAATAAAGATGAGACATCACTTTTATTAACCAAACCTGTTTAGAGACAAAACCCAGCAGCCAGATCATGACATGTATGGGTGAYAAGTGACAAAGGGTTACTGGCAGAGGACATGTGGGAGAAAGGCATTCCAGTCCGAGGTTGGTACTTTTCCCTGTCTACATTCCATTGCTCGATAGTGGGCTGCACAGCACTCTGACATTTTCAAAGGCAAAACCATGGCTTGGAGAGTCTACCAAGTAAGAAGCTGCTGTTCAAATTGTCTCTTTTTCCATAGTGGAGCTTTCCTGAGATTCGGAAGACTAAAACACCAATGCGGGGAAGAGCTGTGTGGTCAAGTCCAGCCCACTTCAATGGAAGACCTGCACCAGAAGCAGGCAGTTCTTCAAACCTCCTGTTAATGGCACTTTCACACATTTAGAGGTTCTTGAGGGGAACACTCATCTTGGTAGGCAGCTGGCGAGTGCATCAGGCCTTGGTATGGTCACAAAGTTCATGGTGCAGTGCAATAGTGGACAGATCTTTTCATGATCCTTCAACACYTCGCTCAAGTGTTTCATTTCATCTGTTAGCTTTCCAATTTCTCTTTTYAGGGAGGTATTTTCTTGCTCAAGGGACTCATATTCCTGGAAGGAGGTGAAGAAAAAAGAAAAACCAACTTTTAGTCAAAACATTCCTTTCCGTGCTTCCACCTTGAGTACATTCACACAGCTGTAGAAAAGGAGTGTGGTTTCTTAGTGCAGCTTGCAAAGTTCTGAGGAAAGGCAGACACAGCCTGGGTGCTGGAACAGGGCAAGTGCTTTACGACCCATGCCCCGAGCACACTGCGATTCCTTTCATGGCCCCGAAGACCAAGAGGTGCTGCTGGCCCTTGGGAGTTCCCCAGGAGCCCAGGGATGCAGGCATGGATGGCTGTGTCCCCATGGTGGCCGCTTCCACCCTGGGCTGCCTATGCTGGAAAGGGCCAAAATGGACTCTGCACTCTGAGCTCAGAGAAAATGAAAGCACTGAGTGCCGAGAGGTGCTGGGAAAACCCAGTGCCTGGCACTGCTGGGAGAGAAGGGCAGCCCCTGCCCTAGGGCACTGCAGTGAAAAGCCCTTGATCCAGGCAGGCACAAAGTGTCCAGTGCTCTCCTCCAGGCTCACCAGAGCTTGTAGCCACCTGCTCAGAAGCCCGTTCCCAGAGGGAAGGAAGTATCATGCCAGGTGTTGCCAGATTCATTTTGTCACCCAAAGGCCAGACCATTGCCTTGGTTCTCCCTGACCTGGCTGCTTTTGAGCAAAGGCTCCTCTGGCCATAAACAAACTGCTGTTAACTGCAGGGAGTTCTGAGGTGCTCTGCAGCATGTATCTGTGACGGATGCAAGACTCCTGGGTCACACTTTTTGATAACTGTGTGTCTCAAGTGTTCCTGCTTCTAAACTTTCTCATCCCAGAGAGAAAAGAGCTAGAGTTCAGAGCCAGCCCACTGARAATCTGCAGATGTCTCACTGCTGGCCCAAGGCATCCACCCACTCAATCTCACCTCCCTGGGAAAGCTTCAGAGCAAACGTCAAAGCCTACACGTGCCTTAAAAGGCTTGYTTCTCATGCAATGTCCTTCTGGGCACCCCTTTGCTGCAGAACTTTGGACTCCTTGCCCTCCCTCACACCCTTCCACCATCTGTCACTGGCTGAATAAAACAGGCAGAGTCCTCCTAACTCCTCTCTAGCATTGTAGCCAAACTACAGCCAAGTTGTGCAACCCTGATTCTCATTCTGCTCATCTCTTGTTGCCCCAAACCTCACAGTCTTGGGTTTTGGAATAAGTGTTACTCTCCCATTGCTCTGTCCCGCTTTCAGGGGTGAGACTATCAAATTGTTCTTGCTGGAACAAATGTTTGTTCAACCAGATCTGCATACACCTGGCAAAACCTGTGACTCAGACTGATGATTCCCGGCACAAGGAAGATCCTCGAGTTCAGAAGGAACACCAGAGAGGATGCAGGATGGCACAAGGCCCAGAAATGATTCCACAAAAGCCAGGGATTACCCCTTCTCAGAAGTAGCCTGCACCTGGCTTTCTCAGGCGCTGACTCAGAGGAGATCTGGGAAAAACCAAGCCCAAAACTCYCCACATTGTCCCTCTTAGTCTCTGCTAACTGCTGGCACATCCTTCCACAGCGAGAAAGAAAAGGCCTGTGATGAACCTTCAGAGCTGAGCAACTGACTCAGCCACAATGGCAGCAGCAAAACTGACGTTTACCCCAAAAACTGTCACCTACCTGGCTGCAAAAAGAGCATTGTTGTGTGCAGTAACATCCAAAACCAGAGAAAAGGGAYCCCTGTCCTCCAGTGTTTGCACTGGGGACACAAGAAAACTACACCACATTGTGATGTGAAGAGCTTCTGGAAGCAACAGCTACTTTCATTTTATTTGTTTTTAAACACCCACAGTTAATTATCAAAGTGTGCRAGTGTAACAGCTAGCCAAGCCGAGCTCTCACGCTTGCAGGTTCTCAACTTCCTAGGAAGCCTTTTCATCTGGGTATTTCTGGGGACCTCGCTGCTGGGTGGCAGTGCTGACACCACAGTTTTAGAACTGATTTAAGGCATCATTGCCAYTGCATGGTCCCCTCCTCCTCCATCGCCTTGTACCTTTGTAAGACTGTAAGAATTCATCCACCGCCACTGCAAATGTGACAAGTCTAACATTAATACAGAAGAAAATGGTTTTGGTTTAGCCCAAAGAAGCCCTGTGATCCCATTCTTTGGATGGTCACAGGAAAAGCAAAAGAGTGAGGATGAGGCAAGGGCAGGGCTGTGTCTCTCTCTYCCCGGCAGTGTCCCTGAAGGCAGCGCTGCACTGTCCAACAGCAGCATCAGTGTCTGGAGTTCCTGACCAGGCATCCCACAGCGCRCTTTCCTGAGCCTCACACTCACAGCTCTCTGAGAGGGATCAGTGTGAAGACAGGCCCACGCCTGCTCAAGAATTCCTGTTRATTGTAAAGTCCCGCCCTTGGTACCCAAGCCGTGCCTGCAAAACACCAAATACCCATTCACCTCGTGGAGTTTATCTGCYTTCTGAGTTTGCTTCTTCCGGCTCCTCTGGGCAGCAACTCGATTTTTCTCTCTCCTCCTTACTTTCCTGTCATCCTCTTCCTGACTCTGGAAGACATCAGCCAGAAACACTTCGCTAGTTTGCAAGGTGCACAGAGATGCCCGAAGTCGGGCGTGTAACTTTCTGAGAACGAACATKTCCAACTTCACAGCGCTGACCCCCTGGCCTCCCAGAGACCTCATGGTCCCTGCTAAGGGCAACGCATCCCCCTCGCAGAGGAGGACCCGAGGCGGAGGATGGATGCCGGCAGGCTGCCCGGGGGATGCCGCAGAGCCCCGCGGGCACTGACGCTACCGCTGATGGGGGAAGCTGGATACCCGCGGCGGGGACCGGCGCTCCCGCTCCGCCCGGCGGGCAGCTCTTCACACCTGCCTCGCCTCAGCGCGGCCGGCGGGCCGGAGGYGCGAGCAGCGCGGAGGAAAGCCCCGCTCCCTTCCCGGCTGCCTGCAGCTGGGGAGACGCCGCTGACCGCGCCGTGCCCYGGCAGCTCTCCGCGACCGCCGGCAGCTCACCCGCTTTCCCAGCTGGAAGAGCCGGCACTGCGGCCGCTTCCCGGGAAAAGAAGAGCCGATGCCCGGGGGCAGCGGGCACCCGCGGCACGGCGCTGCCCGGCGTGTCCCAGCCGCATGTGCCCGCCCGGCCGCCCGCAGCGCCGGCCCCCGCCCGCTCCGTACCTGCTGGCCGCCCTCGGCCGCCGCGCCCCGGGGCAGCGCGCTGATCCCCGCCGGGACGGCGCACGACATCCCAGCTCTGCAGAGCCGCCCGCAGGGCTCCCCCGGCCCGCGGGGGGTGCGAGTGCGAGGGAGCTCAGGGAAGGCGGCACAAGGACAGGGCGGGCCGGGGCGGGCCGGGGCAGGGGACGCTCCGCCCCGGGCCGGGGGTGCCGCCGCCAGGTGCCGGGACGGCCCGGGGCGGAGCTGCCGCCCACATGGCCGTCACATGGCGCCCTCCGGCACCGCGACCACCCGGCCGCCCCGTCCGCGCTGCTTCCCCGCCGTGCCCGCCCCCCGGGACCGCCGGCTCTCGTCAGCCGCCGGGAGCCGGGGGAAAGCCCGGGGCACTGCGCTGCCGGGCAGGAGCTGCCTGAAAATCCCCCCGGAGAGCCCCGGAGCCGGGGGCCGCCTGGGCTGGACGCCCCTCCGGGAGGCGCGACTCGCTCTTTCGCCTGCAGAAATAAACTCCCCGCAGTTTCTCTCCTCCCCAGCAGCCCCCGGGAGCCGGCCGTACCCCCGTGTGTGTCTCTCCGCTCACCTCCGGCCGCTCCTGCCCGCCGCGCTCCTGCGACATCGGCTCTTTGAAGCGGCGGCAGCTTCACGTAGGGGACAGCCAGCTCAGCCCGGGGTCATGGGTATGAGGACATAGCATCCGTGCTGGGATACAACGATTTTCACTTTCGCTACTCGCCCTGTTCCTTTAAATAATAAGGAAATGCGACAGACTTCTTGTAAAGGCAAACCCAGACGAGGACTGCTGAAAACAGARTTGCTGCAGACAAAAATCTTTCTGTTCTACTATTCTGTCGAGAGTATTTTAACAGACTGACCACTGTTTCTTTTACCCCACGGAACACCTTCCTTGCATTTTAATTGCACAGTTACCTTGSCCGTATGCTCTGAAAAGGGGTGTTTGCACTGACAGCTACTTCAACATTCTTSCTCTACGGCAGGATTTGTAACTCGTGTACCCTCCTGGCTGTGCTCAACWCACAGAAGCGAACACATGACCATGCCAGGAGGGTACGTGCCCCCAAACTGCAGTGCAGTGAGTCATAAAACTCCAAGTATCTCAATAAATCGGATACTTCCCTATATTTCTGGTTTCCTCAGCAGYTTGAGTCATCCAGCTTAGATGAAGTTAAAGAGCTGGCAAGCTGAGTAAATACAGGCTATCCTTCCAGGAAGATCTGGCTAACAGTTCATGCTAAAGGTGAGGGAACCATGTTCCCCGGGAGTCCAAAAGTCAAACCCAAGGTTTCCTGGTAGGCTCTGGGACCATGGCTGAAAKATCTGAGCATGATTTCTTTGGTTTGAGGCACTTCTTCCCAGTTGTTCCATTTCAAGACAGCTTGCATCTTCACCTTCCAGGCTATCCATGCATTTGTTTTTGCACTTTATCAGAGCTCCTCTGACCCTGTGAGTGTTCCCAACCTAAAAGCCATGGGGACCACAACTTGGATGCGCACCTTCACCATACCCTTCAGCATACCCTGACCTCACCTTCATCCCCAGACTGTGCTGGGTCAGTGTCCCAAGCACCTTAGAGGGCATTCCTTGATTTCTTTAGAAGTCTTGCCTCTTTCTTCCTCTGTCATCTAACCTGCCAAGAGCAGGACATCTAATGTTCACCAAGGGCTGCTCATGGAGGCAGCAGAATGTGTGGGTTCAGTGCCATTCTCCAGCTGAGGGGATCCAAACCAGCATCTCCTGGAAAGCAGCCCTGACCACCAGGCAGTTATTAAMGGGTGAATTGCTCTGAACTGCTCCKCTGAAACAGCCTCATCTTGCATTAGTTAGACCTCACACAGTTAAAGGAAAGCAGTGGATGTGTGGGCACGAGCAGGGACTKAGTTGGGACAGCTGCTCACGAAGAGCACTGGGCTCTTGCTGCCTTTGTAGCTTAAGCCCAGCTRAAATAAACAGGGCTCGAAGMCAGTATTTTCATAAGCTCRGGGAACAGGTATGCTCTCTTGCAAYAAACCCTATGAACCAWGTGSATAAAACAYCTCAATASCCYGCCAGAGTGATCTGTGGGAAAGAAAGGCCCCTTCCACAAAGGGACTTCGAACTCCATGCTCCAGGAGCAATGCTGCTGTGAATGGCACCTGCACAAGCAACCTGACAGCATCAAATCATGAGCAGCTCACCAAGAATTTATTAGTCCTGAACAAATATCTACGTCACTGAATGATTCCTGGCAGCTGCAGAATAAGGTTTCCAGGATAACATAAGCATGGGACAAGCCAGGGGACAGTCCCYTTGAGCCTGAATAGTGTTCTTGTTCAGAACAAATGACAAAGGAAATGACAAGTCAAAATTTGCTTGTGGGAACAAGTTTCTACTTAGTATTAAAGCTATCTCTGGTACATCTGTAGAAATGCCCACACAGTAATTCCAGGTAGTGCAGAAGTGAAGGCAGAGCATTTCTGTGCAGGAGACAAGACCAGCCCAGAAATAAATTTCTTTCTGTAAGTCAGCTGTGCTTACATTTTATAATGGCAGTTTATCAGTGATGTTTGTCTGTCCTGAAGCAGCCTACACACATGCAGACTGGAGTCTCCGATCACAACTTAGCACAGCACAGCTCTTCTAGAGAATGGCACATGTCAGAACTGGGTCTCAAGAGCACCCCGGCTTCCAAACAGATGTCAGAGTCCATGGGCAGATTTCCAGAAGAGGTGCTCTCCATTACAGTTTGCAATCCCCTTTGTTCAGAAAGTACACACAGCAAAAGCCTGCATGGATGTTGCTCCAATTTGCAAGTTTTTCTCGGCCGGGGACGGCCCAACCTCAGGAGCAATAAGCACTTTGCAGACAGTACACAGTAACAGCGAGATGTTCCATCTCGCCCCTAAAGCCAAGAAATTCAAACTGTTTGCAAATGAACCCAAGCATCCATCACTGTTGAGCTTACAAAATTCAAAGGCTATATAAAGAAAAACTACCAGACATTTCTTGATGCAATACCAATTCGCCCCAAGTTAAAAATAAGAAGTTTGGCTGTTGTGACATTTCAGTAGAAGCCTGATTAGACATGTCTTGCACAACACTGCCAATTCCTATGAAAAGTTAACTGAAGGACAGAAGGCTACTGGAATGGGGGAAAATGAAGTGTTTTATATATTTCTACCAATAGGAAGAACAACTAGTATATTGCAGGTATCACTAGCTGTAGTAATTTTTAWTAAGTATTTGAAAAACTGCTGAACACTTAAGTGTTGTTTAGCTTATCATAGAACTTGCATTTAAAGGGATGTCCTCTGACCTTCCAGTGCTGATGGCCAAAAGTAACCATCAGAGATTTTTTTAATTCCTAGTTTATATGCCGCACTTGGAATCCTCATTGCTTTATCTTCTTTACACAATCCAYTTGGCCAGCATTTCCAGATGCATTTGTCTTTTGCCACCCAGTTGCAGTTGAAACAAGAGCCATGGAACAAAGACCAACTGTTCTGGCTCAGGGCATCCATTCCCACTTACTACAAACCSTGTGCAGGTCAGCTATCCCTCAGTCTCTAAATAGAAACAAGYACTGTAGTGTGATTCTATTAATTTATTTATTAAATCAGTGTTTTCCCTTCTTATTTCTTTTGGCATTTGTCCTACCCCAGCCATTACTGATAACACTTCTTCAGAGATTCACCTATTCCTAGCTATTTTCTGTACTTGCCTATCATTTGCAGAGAATATTCCTCCTAATAGAATCTTCCTACTAACAGAGAAAATGTCCAAATACTGTGATAGTAGCCATGCAGAATCTTGCAGGGCTCACCTTAGCCTAGCAACACTCAAGATCTATGAAGAAAGCCGTAGTGAGGATTTTCAACACCGCACAGAGCACAGGCACTCAAAATAGCAAGTGGCTGTGTGAGAAGCTGCCTCAGCCACACGTTCCACAGCTCTGCAGCTCCAGTCCCTCTCACATCCTGTCCTCTCTTACACGAGCTTTGTAGCTCCGAGATTAATAACAGTTGCAAGTTCAAAGGCAGTAAATGGAACTACTTCAGTTACTCCAGCTAGAATTTAACACAGATGTCTTCTGAATTATGCTCACTGCTCAGCCTCCATCCAGTCCAGGATTAGAACTCACAATATTATCTGAAGCTTTCATCTTCCTTAATCGATTTAATTTACTTCATATAAAAACACACATTTGTATATACAAGGACAGGAAAAATATTTACATATGATTACATATACAAAGTCTYGGTACAGATGCTCACTTTTACAAAATAAATGATGCTAAAATCTATTTTCTTKAGAATCTTCAGTCTCCTAGACATTAGGTTGGACCTGTGTTCTTAGCACCAAATAAGTCATTAATAAAGCTTCTAAAACCCCCCTTCCATTTACTGTGTAAGAAATACATTACATACTAGACATAAGTATTTACTGCAGGCACATGCAACCATAAACTAGAAAAAGTTATAAATGGTTAAGGCACAATGCTCAATTTAGTAGTACTGTGAAATCCTCCAGGTACTAATGAGTAAAGAAAACAGAAGTTAAGCTAACTCAAGTGAATACCATTTACTGGTAGCCTGTACTGATCTTTAAAGTTTAGTCAAACGACACAAATGCAAACACAGACGAAATCAAGATCCTGTCATGTGTGGAAATACTGTCCAGGAAACCCCTGAGSTGCATAATTGGATTACATGAAATGAAATATCAGACCCTAAGATGCTGATGGTTGAATTCCTGTTCAGAAGAGCACACTGCAAGTAAATACATACAATTACTAAAAATCCAAGTTTCAACAATCATGCCTATAAATAATCRTGCCTGACCTGCATTCAGGAAAGGTAGAATTGCAGGGACCAATGTCACATTTGTGCATGGATTTTCCTGAAACTTTAACATCGCATCAAATCCGGTGTTTTCAATATGCTGCAGTGCMAATTTACTTATTAAAATAAAAGCCACCTGCCTGAGTAATTAATGAAGTTGMATTAGGAAACTAGACACTCTCTAACCTCTTTAGAGATATGCTGAAGGTAAATGAGCAGTTAGTGGTTTCCTAAAAGACTGCCCACACACATAAAGCATGCCCACAAACTCTGAGAAGCACAAGGACTCAAGCTAAAAACTGCAACATAAGAGCAAAAAATGAGTTAAAYGGCAAATATACTTGCTGGATATTGGATGCTACTGGTATGTATAGGATTTCATATACCATCAGCATGACAGTAAAAACAGAAATATTTAAAAGGATCAAACACTAATTAAGGAAGCTCCCATGTACAGCACTGAGGGGAGATGAGTTCTGAGGAAAAAGATGGAACACACAGAACAAAAGTATAACTGAGATTCCAATCTGAAAAGCGAAATTGAGAAATTCACGTGCTGAGAGTAATCTTCCTCCGTCGTATTGGGTAGTGCTTTCTTTTGGGGGAAGCCGCAACTTTTCTTTTTTTTAGTAAAACATAAGGATTTTTACTGGTAACAGTTTCTGTTGGTGTGACTTCTCCTGGTGCTACTGAATCTTGAGCATTGTTTTCCTCCTTCGCCTTGCAACCRGAAAAGACTTCTTGCCGCAGCTTGCAGAGTTCCAAGGTTGGTTGCCAAGTTAACGCTTGGGAAAAACCTTCTGCTTTTTCTATGAGTGCTGGAATAGACTGCAAAACAAACCCAAGTATCTCAAGTTACTTGTGGGAAAAATAATGGTTACAAAGAATGCAATATGCTAATTAGATTCTGACAAGCATCTAAAAGCTTCAGTGTCTGCCAAGATGATGCTCAGGATAGCGGGGATGAGGGTTGGGGACGCAGAGCTACCAAGCCAGCAGTGAACGTGTGTGCACTCAGAAGCCAYGCAGAGTATGCCAAGCTGAAGTGTTCCCTCACAACATCTCTAAGATGAAGAAGTATCATGGAAACCACACTGATGCCTAAGCAGGTACTGAAGTAATAAATGTCAAACTCTAGATGAGGTCGTATACGCCTTCAAAAGATGTTCTATTTTTCCAATGCTGCAAAATTTCCAAAATCTCTGTAACAGTATTTCCTATAGCCACGAGATAATCTTCCTTACCTCTGCGTAAGGGRGAATGCTTTACTAACACAATGCTTCACCTGCTTCAAAAGTACACACACCATTTTTTTTTTGTACAAAACTTCAATGAAGATGAGATAGAACTCCTGTTTTGGAACATATTACCAGATCAAGAAGACAAAAGCATTTTCTCCTGGCGCACCCAGAGGTCTCACCTGCATTGCTTCGCTGATCTGTTTGGATGCCACTTCTGTCGCCTGCTTCAGATCCGCAATAGAAGCATCTACAGACAAACACAGAGCCCAAATCACYTTCTGAAACATAACCCCTTTTAATCAGAAATCAGACAGAAACTGGTAMAATCTCTGTATAAAACATAAGCCTACAGCACACCCCCTTTCACTGTAACACTGAGGATGAGAGCTGGCATGGTTTATCTTACTAGTATTTATCACTCAAATTGCAGTAGAGTCTAGCAGTGGAGTCTGCACTAGAGTCTAGCAATGGAATCTAGAAGTCTCAACTATTGAAAGTCCTAAAGTTCTTACCTAGAAATCACAGAGCCAGTATTTGATAAAAAGAACAGTTGTAAAGAAACAATAACACAAAATACTTGTTTTCAAAACTTTTAAGCTCATAACACATTTGATAAAAATCACACGTTCATGGAGAATAAACAGAACTGTGAAGAGCATGAGATGAAGTAAACCCATTTTAAGGAGAGGAAATAAATCATCCTATGTCTCCAACAAGTTGGCTTTTACAAGACAACTAAATTAAAGACAACTTATTTTTCTTCTGGCTTAATTTTCCAAGCATTAACACCAAAAAGAACCAAGCATAAGCAACATGAACTGCATTAATTCTGCTGTCCTATTAAGAAAGAAAGAAGAAGCAGCTTTCAGAAACACTGAAGTAGGCAGCAGGTATAGAACACCTGGGGGAATATAGCATATATTYGACTGCAGCAGCAATACAAGATCATCAATACTTTACGTCTGAAAGTTAAACTCTATGCTATTAGGAAACTATTTTGCATGTTCTCCACCATCCACAAAACTTAAAATGAGCAGACTAGCATGCTTCTGGAAGTAAGGAGGCTCACCTGCACTATTGTTAGTTTTCTGTAGGGTTTCACCAGTGCATGCAGTAGGACACAGTGTGGGGGGTGCACAAACCCCTAAACCCTGTCAGGGTTAAACACAGCACTCTGTTTTGAAGTCAATCTTATTAGTGCTGCTGAAGGTAATTTAAGTAAGTCAGTCAYTGCATTCTAGCACAGGGTTACAGTTCCCTGTTAAAACGTGGAAGACACCAAAAGATGGTGTTTGTTAAACTGTCCTTGTGTCCCGTGTGCTGGTCAGACTTGCCTTAGGAACACACGATCCCTTCATGAACATGGACACCATGTCATGAAAATGCACCATCATTTAGTTTGGAAGAATAAACAGTCCAATAGCAGCCTCTTTAAACACATCACAGAGCCCCACGGATGGGCATTCTCTAAAAGGAGGATATGTCCATAATGAAGCATTCTAACAACAGAGTATTGGCATGAGAAGACTGGTGACCTTATGAAAATGGCAAGGAAGGAATTAAGTAAAAGCAGGAATAACTACTTGGGAAAGTAGAAAGACTGGCACATAGTTAAATCAAATTTGCCTGCAGGAGTTCAGCTTGACATAGATGGCATTATATTCCTCAGTGTTCAAGGCTTTCCAAAACATAGGGAAATGAAACAAGGAAATGAAAAGTATTGAGTAATCTAAACATTTTTGGTTTCTGACCACTGCACTTGCTAAACTGGGATACATAAACTTCCCAAAGACTACATAATACAAAAATTCTGCACAAACTCCATGCCATCTTTGCCACGACTTTGCCGTTASCAATACTAAAAAGATAATACCCTACTTGCTACTAACTTGCAAGTAGTTGACTCCCGTCAGAAAAGACTGGATTTGGACACAAGAAACCAAAAGGAACCCAGATATGAAGTGACACTGYACTGCTCCTACTAGCTGCTTTACTGCTCAGGCTGGCACTGCTGGAAGCAATGTTCCCTGTTTACAAAAAGGTAAATGATGCTCAGAATGAAGTCAGATCAGCAGGGTGAGAACTGGAAGATTCAGCTCAGCTTCTCAAACTTGCAGCACCACTGCTTGTTACACCAGCTTTACATCATAAAATCTGTGTCCTACTYTGCAAGTTAGGAGAGCCAACACTGYCATCACTGAGCCCTACATGACAGTTTTCAATTCCCTGAAGGAACTGATTGGAAGAGAGGCTGAAGCATTTCCAGTACTCATACAAAAGGAACACAAGAACAGACAAAGTACAATGTCAGTGATCCATCCAGTTCCCCATCTGGCTTCCAACAGTCGTGAATAAAAGAAGTAAATAAACTTTCTAAGGGTAGCTCTGTGACAATTTTTCTCCAATATACACATAAGAGTGGCCAGGTTTTTGCCTTTAAGTAGAGCACCTAACTGCAAGCAGCACTCAGAACAAGAAAAATGAACAAAGTAAAACTCAGGCACCAATACATTCACTTATGACAAACTTTTAGCTTTTTTAGCTAATTATTTAAACAGCCTATAATTTTGAAAAAGTTTAAAGAAAGAAAATTTCTTAAATGTTTACAGCTAGCCAGTTGGTGAGGCAGTGTTTCCTCAGTACAGCTGCCATCCCCACAAAATCCTTACCTTGAGAAGGTGGAGATTTTCTCTCTGCTGGTTTTACCACAGGCTGGTAGAGCTTCTGCATGTTCAGGAAAAAAAAAAAAAATTGTTAAATACTCTGTTAGTTTAATAGATATGTAATATACAGATAGCAGTCAAAACAATGGAGATGGTGATGGAATTATTTAGATCAAGAATGTATTAGAGGTACAGTTTATAGATACATAATTACTGAAAATAGTATTCTGGTTAATGCAGTTAAATTCACTGTAACCACATCTCCAGAATCTGCTTTAGTTTGCAGAATTCTAATTATTAAAGCATGAGAACTGACATCCAGGCATTYTGGAAGAAGCATTGCCACCTGCTGCACGACTGAGGAAAAATAGCTACTCCAGCTTCTCAGGAGCCATTCACAGAACCAGCATGCTTTCAGAGAGCCACAAACTCCAACAAATGGTATGCTAAGACAAAAAGCTAAGAAAAAGACTGGCTCGGCAATTACTTATGCAGAAGTACAAGCACTCTGCTTCACAAACTGTGAGTCTTATGACCTGACATCAGTTAACTGAGACATGAAGTAAATGAACAATAAATTAATACAACCAATATTTAGTTATATTAAAGGTGGAATTAGAAGTAACAAACAGGGAAGAAGGAAACCGAGCAAGGACAGGGGAACAGAAGTTGTATCATCTGCAAGTTAGTGTTCCCCACTTCAGGAGCTGTCCCTCAACCCTTCWAGCAAATGCAGGGGAAAGTTAATTATTCCTCCCTGTAGTTTTACCAGAAGAAATTTTTTACAGTTCACATATGTTCTTAGCAAGTTTGCAGTAACAGCTCCAAGCAGAAGAAGAAACACTGTTTGCATGAGCCTCAAACTCTTCAGAACATATTGACTGAAAACACACAGGATGATCTCTTGCTTTGGCAATTACAGAGATTACCACAACGAGATAAATCATGTCTTCATGGCTGCTCTTTATGCCTCACAAAGCATCACAGGACTAGCTATGGTCATGAAAGAACACAAGAAATCAGCAACCAAAAGCAAAGAAAYCAGTGGTACCTTTGCAGAAGTAGATGAGAGACGAAAAAAGAAGACCACTTACAGAGATAAACTAAGCTTTCCATATTTCTTACTTATATTTCTAGATATTCTTACAGGGGTAAACTAAACTTTTGCTGACAATTTTAATGAAAATAATCATCTAGTTGTGGTGCTGTAAACTTTGAAAAGATCAGTAAGAGAAAAAAAGCATCATGAGAGGCATTCTAAATAACTAATTCACTGTGGGACTTGGGCAGCAGAAAGATTAAAAGGTCTTATTAAATCTTGGTGTTATGCAACAGCATATTTCATTTTAGTTGATTTTGTTTGTTTTACATATTTGATACACTGACAAAGCAGAGAGATAACAAAGGCAGTATGTTAGAAAATATCTCAGGTGTAAGACAGAGATGTGCCCATACACTTTTCCTTACTGTACATCAGCTCTGCCTGGCTAACCTAGACAGTTAACATTTGTCAATTTTAGCCCTCAGAAATGCAATGTAGGCTCTTCAACTTTTTAAAAAGATCCCTGTCTTCTTTAGTATAGAACAGCTGAAGTTGGGAAAGGGCCTCTAAACACCCTCCTGAAAGAAGGGCCAGCTAGGGCAAATTGCTCAGAGCCTCATCCAGTCAACTTTTGAATATCTCCATGAATCTCTCTCAGGATGAAGACTCCGGTTTCATTAAGCAATCTGTGCCAGCGTTTGACTCTGCCTCTCATGCTTGTTTTTTGCCCAAGGAATCCCAGCTAATCAGGAGGTAAGTAAAAGGCAGGCCTAATGTAATGCAGGGAAGAAATCTAGCAGCCAAGGACATGACTGGATTGTTTCATGCCAGTAACTACTTTACACTGTGTCAAAAATCCCATAGAATTTACTGCACTGATTCATTAATCCACACTGCCTTGTTTTTTCATTCTTTACTGAAAGTACTTACTCAATGTAGATGCAAACTCAAAAAAAGTGCTTAGGAAGCCACTGACAYTTCTTTTAACAGTCACAGACTGCACATGATACTATCTATCCATATGYAGTGTAATAATTCCTACCTCAACCAGCCTTTGGCCAAGGACTTCAGGAACTGGGATGTGACAAGATAAAGAGGCACCTACTGGTTTGTAAATCATGAATCACCACATTGAAGTAATCTGCTTAAGTTTCTCTGTGCCACAAACCCAATTCAGACACAGGCACAACACTTTGCAGCAACCCTCAGTTTACTGCAGAACCAATTAATGAAAAAAGAAAATTCATTTTATGATAAAGAATCAAAAGCAACCATGGGAARGAGCTTAAAGTCAGCACTGGATATGATTAATTTCTTCAAGTTATACATAGTCAGCAGCTGCTACATGCAAAGGTTTTCTGAAAGCCTTAGGTTACTCACCAACATCTCTTGCTCTGCTTTCAGTGTTTGGACAACATGCACCAGGATCTTTTTAGGCCACATTTGACGCCTAGATGCTGTCTCTACTATTAGTTCATCAAACTGATCCTCAAGAATTTTAATGTTGGAACCTGAATGTATCAAACACACAAAGTTATTGGGGAAATCTCACATAATTTTTTTGAGACACAGTTATCAGGAAAAAGAAGCTTTAGATCTCAAAAAATCATGTATGATGATCAACATAAAGATAAATGTATGYCTTGAATCTCCTTGCTAAGGCAGTATACAAACTGGAGCATAACTTGATGCTGGCCAGTTATCTTGAAGTAAATGATGTGGGGGGGAGGGAGGGAGAGAACCATCCAGAAAAAAACAAAAAAATGTATTTTCCTATGAACTCTGAATCTATGAATAAAGCCTTACAAAGCAATGGCTGTCTTTTGAGGTAACATGTTTTTCAGTTGAAGCAAAGCAATGCAAGAAAAAATTTTATCTGTGATTTACAAGCATTAAACAAACTCCAACTGTAAAAACATTAATTTGAAGCCTAACTGATTTTATATCACACAGAGCACAAATTAACAGTTGAACATTCACTGTTCCTATTACTGTGCTGTGTACAACTTGCAAGCCATGCAATGTTTTCCATCTAGTGGTAAAGAACGAATTTTGAGCACCCGCTCTGTGTCACTCCATGCATAATCAAGTGACTGCAAAACTCAGAAAGGCAAAATCAAGGGTTTAAGAATCTGTGGGTTTGTTTCGGTTGTTTGTTTTAGGATCATTATGACATGCAAGTATAGTCAGGAAAAGACTCAAGCCACTGGTCAACATAAACAYGGAAGGCACAAAACACCAGCTCTCTTGGAGATTCACACTGAATTGGAGACAGACACATGAGTAAATCTATATCAAATTAAAAAGCACAATAGAGCCTTTACATCTGCTTTATGCCAGCTGTGGACAGATGACAATGTCTCWGTTTCACATTCGGCATCCCAAGATCGATGCATTTTTGATGTTGTAATCAAAGTAGCTGGAATTTTATCATTCAAGAACTACAACTGTAGAAACTTCACAGGATCAGAGAATAGTCTGGGTTGCAAGGGGCCTTTAAAAGTGATCTCATCCAAGCTCCCTACAATGAGCAGGTATATCTTCAACTAGTTCATATTGCTCAAAACCCACATTGGCTCACAGCTTCCTGACCAAAGAACTRTTCAATGTTTTCAACATCTTCATAGTTAGCTCGATGCATCTGTATTTTCAGCTTTATGTAACTGTAATAAGCATCAAGCTGCAGGCAAAGAGCACCTAATGTCAACACAGATGAGCGAATGAACAGCACTGAAATTTGCTTTGCACACCAGACTGCCAAGAGTCTCCACTATTATTCAAAGGACAGTAATTGTAAGCACATTGTTTCTATTACATATAYTAATATAGCAATAACTTTTAACACTTAATTAGTACATTAAATAGCAGCAACAGTGTCCTAGGGTCGCTTGATAGGAAGAAATCTTGGTCATGGCCCTCAATACTCAGACAGCAAGGGCCCTCCAGAGCCTCCTGCTCACAGCAGGGTCAAYGCCCATTTCAAACCAGGTTGATGAAAACACTTTTGGAAGCCTCCGCCGTTGGACACAAGCTATCTGGGGAGCCTTTTCCAATGCTTTATTATCCTAAAGTGAGTTTTTATTTCCTTACATCAAGTCAAAACCTCCCCTGTCAATCGGCCCCCTTTCAGCTCTAGGCAAAACCAAACCAAACCAAACCAAAACAAACCCGCCCAGCAGGAAACGAATGGAATCCACCGCCTACCGCTCTGCAGCTCGGAGTCATCCGAGGCCTCCTCCCAGGGCTGCCCGTTAATGGTAACATTCTCCCGCACCGCTGTCTCGAAGTTCTGCAAGACACGGGACAGGCTGAGAATCCGCCCATTCATCCATGAATTCATCCCTCCATCCATCCCTCCATCAATCCATCCATCCCGCGGAAAGGGCCCCTCCCGCCTCACCGGCCCCTGCCAGGGAGCTCCCCCGGGTCCAAGCCGCCCCCTGAGCCCGGGGGCCGAGCGCCGGCACAGGACCTTCCCGCTCCCCACTCACCCAGAGCGCGTCCGCCTCGGCCGCGGCCCCGCCGGGCTGTCCCTGCGYCAGGGCCCGCACGAAGGGCGCGCACAGCTCCAGCACCGCGCCCACCCCGCGCCGCGAGCAGCAGCGCACCCGCGGGTCCCTTCGAGCCGTGCCCTCCGAGCCCGGGCCCGGCTCTGGCTCTGGCTCTATCCCCGGCCCCGGCCCCGGCCCCGGCGGTGGCGCCGCCGCCATTTCCCGCCTGGGACGCGGGGAAAATGCCGGCCCGGAAGCGGAACCCGCGGGTGCGCGGTGCCTTCCCGCCGAGCGCGGCATGGCGGGGCCGGTGGACTGTCACTGCCACCTGGCCGCGCCCTGCTTCCAGCCGGTGAGGCGCGTTGGGCAGGGGGGACAGCGGCGAGGCGCGGCCCCGGCGCTGAGGCGGTGCGTGTCTCTTGCAGGACGTGGCGGCCGTGGTGCGAGCGGCGGAGCAGGTGAGGCGGGGCCGGCCTGAGGGGACCCTCTCCCCGCGCCCCCGCCGTTCCGCCGCTCTCAGCGGGTCGCGGGTCTCTGTGTGCCGCAGGCGGCCGTGTCRGCGCTGGTGGTGGTGTCGGAGCAGGCGGGCGAGTTCCGGAGCGTCGTGGAGCTGTCGGAGAGGTGCGAGGCCGGCGGAGATCCCGGCGACCCCCTCCACGCCGTGTCCCTTGGCGGCGCTTTGCGGATTGACAGGGGATGCGCTGCCCTCCTCCGTCAGGCCGGCCCTTCTTGTCTTTAAACTTGAGTCCTCTGTGGCTGCTTGGCGTTAAACTTGGGTTCTCTGTGGTCTTTCACACTCTCTCTATCCGTTCCGTGCCTAGATTTCCAGGGTTTGTCCTGCCATGCCTGGGAGTTCACCCCGTTCAAGAGGTTTCTCCGGAGGAGCAGCGCAGTGTTACTTTGAAGGTAAAGCACCAAAGGACTCCAAAATATCGCTGGGGCTTTTCAGGGCAGACGACAGGATGCTCCGGTCTGCCTGATTTACCTTCAGGTCTGCCCAGTGGTTTTTATGCGCTCTGTAATGCAGGAGACCCAGCGGATCAAATCCCAGGCTCTCTCAGCACATCCATTTGTCCATGTTAGTCCTTAAAGCAGAATTGTTCAYGGAGTCATCTGGCTGTGTTACTGCAGTGAAATGGTTTAAAAATCCCAGGCGTGCTTTGCTTACAGCTAACAGCGTGTGCAGATGTCCCTTTGTTTACAGGGGAACTGGAAGACAACTGTTCATGGCCTTATCCCGAAAATCTAAGGGAGCTGTTTTATAGGACTTGTTTTAATTACCTCTTCTGCTGCTGTGAAAAGTTAGTTTAGAAGCAGGAGTRTTTAGAATAAGATTTATATACATACATACATATGTAGTGAAAGGGTAATTAAGTAAAGAAGGTAAATCCTTCAGGTTTCTAAAATCTGATGTACAACTCCCATTAATAGCAAGTTCTAAAGCACAGAATTTCAGGACAGTGAAGGAAACTCCAGTTTAATCAAAATGTTGGGCTCATGTCCCTTTGCTCTTGTATGGGCAGTGAGAGTTGCATCTTTTGTTTCTTTCAGGATCTGGATGCTGCATTGCCTCTTATAGAAATTTTCAAAGACAAATTGGTGGGGATCGGAGAAGTGAGTAGAATTCCATAACTTGTTTAAATCTCTCCAGCAGCAGTTGTCACTGGAATTACAAGAACTGAGTGAATGCTTGTTTTTCTGTATGTGGTAAGAATTGCTGTCAGCCTGAGCAAGCACTAAGTCTGATTGGTAGTTCTCTTAATGTGCTTTCCTTTCTAGATTTGACTGATTCCCTCTTTTGCTTTGTTGTCATTATTCAAAAATAGATGGAATTTATGCTGGTGGAGTMGTAGGAAGATTACATACTTATGCTGTCTCATGTTATACCCAAAGGCAGATCCTTCTTKCCTTCTATTCTGACAAAGTTAGGCTAAGCTGTGATTTCAGTACACAATGCTGACTTGTACAGTTCTTTTTTTTAATCCTTCATCTGTCTGTATCCATCTGTTGTCTCCTGTTTTACATTTGTTTATAAATGAATTGAGGCTTTAGGATGGAGTCTGCCTCTATTTGTGTGTTGGTACCAGAGGGACTTATGTCTGATTCTGCGCTGGCTGCAGAAAAAGCAGGTTTTGGCAGAACTTTGTAGCTAAATTTGCCCTGTCATACTATAGGTGAAGGACTTTGGTGGGTGTAACTGTGAATGGGGCTGCTTTGACAAACTTTAAATTTTGCCTAAATATGTTTAAATTAAAAAAAAWAAATAAAGGGTAATTTTTGCTAGAGATTGGACTAAAGGTGTAGATTCAGGTCAGAGATTTTACTTGTATTGGAAATGCAGATTTGAGACTTAATCTGACATAATATTCAATAGAATATAAACYCCAGAAAACCAGTTACAGATTAAAATGTTAAATACCCTTGTTAGTAGCTGTCTGCCCACAAGTGCTTTCATAGTTGAAAAGCTTATGGCTGAGAATGGATTCTTTTTTTGAGTTAAGCTACAGTTGAGCTCATTTTAATTGCAGTCTCCAGTATATACATATTTTGAAATGCTTTGCAATTTTTGAAGCATTTTATGCTTTTGTGGATCTAACTATGGTTTTGTTAAGTCTGTAAAACTTATTGTTAGGTCTGTAAAACTTATTCCCTTCTCTTCTTGTACTGTAGGTTGGAYTAGATTTCACTCCCAGATTTGCCAGTACCGATGAACAGAAGGAAGCACAAAGACAGGTTTTGATCAAGCAGATTGAGTTGGCAAGAAGACTGGATTTGCCTTTGTAAGTTTTGTTTGTACTAGAAGAAGAATTAGCCAAATCTCAGTAACATGTGGAAATACTTCCCTGGATATATGGTTACTAAGTGCCCACACAACTTTTCTTAGATGGATTAAACTGACATTAGTRTCCTGTCAGTCTCCAGTTTCAGATTTAATTATAGAATTTTTCCTATGTTTGCACTTTTGTACAGTCATCTTATGTGTCTTTGCTGTGTTACTGCTGTATCTTCACTGTAGCTGACATAATTCATATGTACATCTCTAGGGTTTCTTTCTTGGTAAAAGGTGTAATACAGATTAATTATCTTCATCCCAAAATGCTGTTAGTTCATTTGTGTTTGCCAAAAAAAAAATATTAGGCTAAATTTTCTAATGCTGGGCCTCTCCTTGCTGTGCAGAAATGTTCATTCCCGCTCAGCTGGAAGACCAACCATTAATCTCTTGAAGGAACAAGGTATGCTTTTACGGCATTTCCTCTGCCATAGCTTTTGCCAACAGGATTCCTTCAGCTGTGCCATGTCCTCACATCAGTTTGTTATCTTTAACTCAGGAGCAATAGAGCAGAGATTCTGTGCTCATTCAGTATGGGACCAAGGCCCCATTGGAAGGTGTCATCACAGCTCTACTGTTCTATGCTAATGATTTGGTTTGCTTCATTTCTTCAAGGTGCTACCAAGGTGTTGCTCCATGCATTTGATGGGAAGCCRTCTGTAGCGATGGAAGGGGTGAAAGCTGGATATTATTTCTCCATTCCTCCTTCCATTATAAGGAGTGAACAGGTAACATTTTGTTCTAATTCTACCTCGGGTCTGCTCCCTCTGTGTGCATTGCACATTTTTACTKTGGCTAAATTTCTGCCTGGGGCTTAGCTGGACTTTGGTGGGGGTGAATTTTTGCTAAAACAGCTCAGCTGTTCCTGAGAAACAAGGGGTTTTTTTTTCTCATTTTATTGTGGTTTCCGGTGAACTGTTCTTCGGAAGCTTCTGTCACTATACTGTTTTAGAGTGGGACATGATGTGTAGAGATGGGTTCCTGTGATAGGACTGATTTCTGTGATGAGCTCAGCAAATGTAAGAGAGGAAAAGGCTTGATTCAAGTGAAGGGAGCATGAGGTAAGGATATAAAGAGGGATAAGGTTAAGGACTCTGGAGGAAGGAAAGCAAACTGGGTTTGAGGGGTAAAAGCAGAGATGAGGAAAAGATGCACAAATATTATGTGCACAGAGAACAGCTAATCAAAATTGCATTGGCAGCTCCAAACGTTGGATGTTTTGTGCAATATAATTGCATGATTTAATAACAATGAATTCAGTATTGAGATAATAGTACTTTGGCTATTTAGAAAACAGGAGAATCCTAATTTGGGGGGAGTTCTTGAGCAGCAGCTAGTATTCTTGTTTCCATTCACACAAGAAATTGTTGATAAAATGTAGAGAGTGTCACCAAAGTCTTTTGATGTTGCATTTAAATGTGGAGGATATCCTCCTTTCATGATTTATTCCCACAGGCTGAAATGCATAAAGCATTTTAATAACTGTCTTATTTTCTTCAAGAAGCAGAAGCTTGTGAAACAGCTGCCTCTGGAAAACATGTGCTTGGAAACCGACTCTCCTGCTCTGGGGCCTGAAAAACAGGTAAATGACGGGAGGGAGGGACTTCTTTGTATTTGTATCCAAACCCACCCCTTATGGAGGTCAGTTACTGTCGCAGGGGATACAAGGAAGGAAAGAGGCTACAAAGGGAACGTAATCCTCGAAGAATGGATACATGTAATTTTTATGTCACACCTGCCACAATGTTGCTGAAGTTGTGTCMGGAAGTACTGGATCTCAAACACTTGTGATCTCTAGGGATCTGTAACTTGGTTTGTTTGTTTTGCAGGTGAGGAATGAACCCAAAAATATTTACATTGCTGCTGAATACATCGCTAAAATTAAAGGAATTCCAGTTGCAGAAGTTATAGAAGTGACTACACAGAATGCACTGAAAGTATTCCCCAAACTTCAGAACTTCCTTCGGATATAGATTCAGAAACTGAAATATATGATATTGCAGAAMGTATTTTTTGTGGTGTAATTAATAAAACCAGCATGCATCTTGTGTTAAAGTGGAGTTTTGCTTTTGGAAAATCCAAGAAGCAAGCAGTGTTATATAGCTGGATAGTATGAAAATAAGGAATTTCTCAGAGGCCTTTGGTGTGCATTATATTAATCTCCTGAATGTTCCTGAAGGGAACATGTTCCTTATTTCTGCTGACTGGAAGTCACAAGTTGTGAATCCAGTTATGATAAGAAAGCTCCTGGTACAACTTGCAGACTACACATCCCTTTCTGAGCCATTAAAAGAACCCAGATGGATGGACATTCTCACAACTATTTTGTGCTGACTGGACTCTTGAGTAGTGCAGAAGCAACATCTCTTCAAAATACTGTTGGAAGGAAAGAATTACAGCCCTTCTCTCCTTTTCCCATGTATAAAATAACAGTTGCTAAGATCTTCGCTATTTTGAGAAGGATTTTWTTTGATTTTWAAAAATATTTTAATTTTTGAATTGTGTTCAAAGGAAAAAGCCTGTGTTTGGTCTTAGTTCAAGGACTCACTCTTCTGACTGCTCAGTATCAGAAGACAAGGGATGTGAAAGGGAGACAAACTCGATTTTGTGGTATCTTGGAGGTGGTCTGTGGATTCTGCTATGGATTCTGAAAATTGAATCTTATGCTGCCTCATGACACTTGTGAATCTGGGCCTGTTAAATACTGATCAAAAATTTATTGATTATAAACCAGCAATTGAATGAAGTGGGTTTTACATGACTCCCAACTGTCATGTGCAGGTTCTCACCCTCTATGGGGAGTTTTACCAGGTCAGTGAAGAAAATACACAAATATTAACTTAGTTCATGACAACCTTCGGGTGGTGAAGGGGCAATGTAAGTGACGCAAGTGATGCTCAAAGTTTTGTTTTCCTCTAYATTGTCTGCCTCAGTTTCTTAAAACCCCATTGTCAGGAGGGGTTTTTTTCTGCCTTTATCAGAACAGCTTGTTCTGCTTTTTACTAGAGGTAGTTTATTAAATTTTAACATATGTTCCTTAACGGTTTTTGGCATGGAGCCAAACAACCAAACTTGTATAATTTTTCTCTATTACAACATGTATTTAGAGCAGCAAACACTTGGATCTTTGCTGAGCGTTTGATCCAGAGTAGTTTGAGCCCCTGCTTATCCTGGATATCTATGCATAGTTTCTGCTAAATAGAGCAAATTACGAAGTTTGCCTGCAGATGGTGCTAGGGAACAGGTATGCAACAGTCTTCAGAACACTGGTGTGATTCACTTAATGACTAACTTTCTTGTCATTGGMAATGCTAAACATATGATATGAGGCAGCCTTACACGTGCTTCCTKCTGCCTACGTGTTGGAGAGGCTCCCAGTATTGTTTTGAAATGCAGTTATGTGTAGAGATGCTCTAGGTAAGAAGTCAGTCAGCATCCAAATGTTTGCAAAATTTTGACTCAATTATTTTTCTCTGTGGAATTCTTAGCATTGGATSAAAACACTGGTTTTGCAAAAAGGGGAAWTATGAAGTAATCTTCTCAAAATCCRTATCTCTGCAGGGGAGTKGCRTTGCTCTGGTTCAGCCTTGGCCTTGCAGCAGGGTGATACATGAGTGTTTGAATCCCTTTTGCTGCTGCAGAAACCTCTAGACCCAGTCACAGCCTGCAGCTCCTGTGTGGGCAGGGCACTGCTGAGGGTGAGCAGCCCCTCATGGGCTGTGGGGGCTCGGGGATAGCAGTGTCTATGGGCTCTGCAGCAGCAGGCCTGGAGTTGCTTTTGGTGGTGCAGGGGTGTGGTTTGGGCTGGCAAAAGAGGCACGGAGTTTGCTTGGGCCAGAGTGAACTGGCATTGCAGCAGCCCTGGGCAGGGCGAGCCTGGCAGGGGACCAGCGGCAAAACAAACTGGCTTTGTCCTCTCCTTAGACCTGYGGCGCCAGAGCTAACTCATGAAGTAGGTGACCTGAGTTCCAGAAAAGGAAACTGCAGTGTCATTCCCACACTGCCTTGGCATCCCTCACACATAACACAGGTCAGAAGCAGCACTGTTTTCCCAGTGCTGCTGGTTTGGCTGTGTGAGCTGTGCTGCAGGCCCTGCAGTCTGGGCTGGGGATGGGCAGCGGGCACTGGAAATAAAGTTGTTGCTCTRCACAAGAAACTCAAGCTTTTAAGGTGCTCACTTGGGACTGGTGGTACTATTGTGCAGTGAGGAGGAATTGTGGTTTCTGAGCTGGAAAACATCGTTTATCCTCAGCAGTCATTCTGTAACTTTACCTCAAAAGGGGAATTTAACAGAAAGCTTGGATTTCTACCTTCTGTCCCAGGCTAACACCTGGCCTGGAGTGGCTGGGGAAGGCAGGCTGGCCTTGGGGGAGCTGTCTGGCTGCACACTGAAGCCTCCCATCCTCACAAAGGTTGGCCTTAGCAGGATCAGTGTGTGTGTGCTGAACCCTGTTGCAGCCTCTCAGGGTATCTGGATAAACCTTGGTTCCCCTGGGTTCCCCAAACCATGCCTTCCCCCATGTAGCACAGGACTGAAGTGGTCAAGGATGTGTTGGAGGAAGGATACAGTGCAAATCTAACTTAGGAAAAGTTAGTGCAACCCAGGTTTTCTTTTTTAGCCATGCCATCAATTTTGGGGATCCCAAGCAGCCCAGGTGGCTTCCACCTCAGAGAGGGGAATGGCCCAGATTGTGTGCAGCAGTGTGGAAAGTGGTATGTCCCAGGCTCCATCTGATACCTTCAGCCATCAGCTTTGCTTGGGATGCTACAAACAGCAGATCTGGTCGTACTTTGATTCCCCATGTCACTTTACCTTGCAGGATGTGCATGGAGTGACAAAAAAAAACAAGAAAGGGTTCTATCTGTGCTCACTTAAATAGTCTTTGGAGGGCTGCAGCTCAATCACCCTTGCAGGGCCTTCCCTCTGAAAATTGTTTTTAGCCATGGATTAAAAGAGCCTGAATCTCCTGGACTCTGGGACAAAGTGCTCTGAGTTTTTCCAGACTTTGACATGGGAACAAGAGAGGAGATGGTGATGAAGCCAAGTGGATGAAATGCTGTTTATTCCTGCTGTTTATCATGACAAGAGTTTAAACAAATGAACTAAAGACTTTTACTGGAAGTGCTTCCAACAGACTCCTATGCAATGCATAGATAGGCTCTTTAGAAGCAAAAGCAAATAAATAACTGCCTGGAAATGCAACTTCCATCACTTAGGAAGTTCTGCTTTTGTTTGTTTTTTCATTAACACAGGCTGGGGTTCGATCCTCTGTTCCCATTATAAAGCAGGAAAGTGAATTTCAGAAAGTCACTGGCTTAGCATAAAGCTTTATTGTTCTCTTTGCTTTCTATATGCAGTACAAAGTGCCACTGAGATCAAAGGAAGGATGTGAATTGCCATAGCAYCCAGTTGTCTCACCATTTTCCTCTTCAGCAGGTGGTTATCCATCTGTTCATTTTCCCTGCTGGGGTTGGCTTTTCTATCAGTGTGAATCTCTTGGGGCATGGACATAACCCTGAGTGCACTAAGTGGGGCCCCACCATGCAGTGAGTGCCAAGTCACTCCTCCAGGGGCTGCTGAGTTTTTCAGCCCTTTTGAGCTMCTGTGAATGTCAAAACAACAAGAAACCATAGTGAGGATCATGGCCCTGATGAACCCATGCCTGGGGCAGGAGCTGATACCATCTCCCCAAATGCTTGGAGATCAGTGCTGTGGTCAGGTCTGCTGATGGAAACAGGAGTGTGATGCGCCGGAGGGGGTAGAAATGGTGAGGCACTGGAGTGCCTCTGAGGACAAGGAGTCTGCAGGAGCATATCTGATGTCCTACTGAAGTGGCAGAATCGAAATTAATTTTGTCTGCAGTGTCTGGGTGAGGTAATACACCCTGTGCCCTATCTCCAAGGGCAGTGGGGAGGCTGTGATGCATGCTGATGAGCCCGGCCTGCCAGGGCAGAGCACGGGCTGTGCTGTGGCTGAGCAAACCTTCAGCTGCCAGGTACGAGGGCAAGCAGAGCTGCCTGAATGTCCATGAAGCAGCATTGACATGTGGGGAAACAGAGCCACATCCCCCTGTTTTGGTAATGCAGGGGCCATGACACAGAGAAGTGGCAGTGTCAGCAGTGTGACTAAGTCCCTGCTGCCCCAGAAGTGTCACCTGCAGGCGGGCTGGGTCAGCACACAGGCTGTGCCCAGGCTGGCTGTTAGAGCCTGCCTGCAGTGCAGGGAGAGCTGTTTGTGCTCCCCATCCTGCTCAGTCCCTCCCGACCAAGCCCATCRTGCTCAGGAGCAGCAGAGCCCTCCCTGTGGCCGCTGTCCTCTCCATCTGCTGCAAGGTCTCCGTGGCTGCTTGCACGTCCTGCATCTGAGCCTCCCTGGCTGCCAGGGAATAGCAGCTGACATGTCCCTGCCTCCTCAGCCCCCCCAAAGGTATCCTGACTCCTTCACTGTGTGTTGTGGGGTTCATCCYATTGGGAACAGAGCAGATAGGCAGTGCAGTGCCACAGCCCAGGTGAGATTGCCCACGTGTGTTTTGTATTTCTGTGACAGTGTGGACACAGGGTTGAACTTGTTCAGCATTCCCATATGGACTTTGCATCCACTCTCTTGGCTGTGCCAGGGCTGTTGTTCTTTGTCACCAGAGTGCAAATGGATGCTTGGTTCCTTGTCGTTGCCCAATTGCACCTCAGATGAAGGACATGATCTCACACTGATAGTTGTTGTTTCACAAGCAGCACAACCAATGATGCTTTTTTGTCCTAGGGATTTATGATCTCACCACAGCAATTCCAATCTTCTACCCATGTCCTATGATACTCCCATTAGAGCCCAGCACACCCAGTGCTGCATTTCCAGCTCCTTGTGTGTTTCCCTGTTCTCTGTCATGGTACCACCAGCTCCTCCGTGTACCTTCTGGGCTCTGCTTGTCACAGTACCWTGGCTTTCCTCTCTGTCCCTGTGACTTCCCTGTAATTCCCCATCTCTCTTCCCAAGCTTGTTGGATTGTCATTTAAGCTACTCTGGGTGGGTCATATTTGGATTGCTGCTGGCAATATTGGGACTCAGCAGCTGGGTGTGTGACTCCTCTTGATGACTTTGAGAGGAAATGGAGACAGTCAGTGTCATCTGCATGTCCCACAAACTTTCTAGGGACTTTGTATCTCCAAGAGGTCTGTGCCTCTGTCGAATTTTGATGACCACTGTCAAAAACTCAGAGTTRTGGATGTGGACTAAGGAACAGCACGACCATGTTAAGGGAATTCCATGGAAATGTGTGTACACTGGATGCTGCATCTCCTGGGTGGAATTGGACCYRCTTCTTTGGAGCCTCYTAGGTTTGCTCTGTATATGACCACWGGTGAACCTGTGAAATGGGCCTGGGCTTATCTAGCAGGAAGGTCTGTCTCTGTGAAGTGCACTGCCTGGAGWGGGCAGCTTTGAAGTGCAGATTGGCACTGGCTTGTTGTTATAAACATATAGCAAGCATTTTTGTGCTCAGATCATTTCTGGACACACAACAAAGGGTGAGGAAGCARACACATGGAGTGCTGTGGGAACGAGTTGAATGGAGCACCATGTGAGGAGTTCCAATCTCAACATCACTGGATAACTTCCCTTTTCTCTAGGGGTCATTATTCCTGCCTGGAAAAATCAGGGTGATAAACCCAGCTCTGTACTACACAGGGCCTCCATGCTGAGTTGAAGCAATAGGGTATAAAATGTGCACAAGCAGACGTCAACACTGTCCAAAATAGTCCCTCCTGTGCTCCTGGTGAGTGCAGCACATCCATTGACAATCCACATATGTGACATTTATTCAAAGATGACATTTCTTGAGCAGCATATGGAGGCTGCTGTTGTTGTCCCAAAATAGGTTCTTTCACTTTCTCTCAGCCGGTGTGCAAGAGGCCACTCCACACGCAGAGTCGAGGTATTCGATTTATTTACAGTTCTGTGCAGAAAGCAAATCCAAAACACAGTCCTGTAGCAGCCACTGTGAAGAAAGTTTACTCTACCCAGCTAAAACCAGCACAAGAGCCCAAAGTGATGAAGGGCTGGGCTGAAAAGGCAGTGATTTGTGGGACTTGTCTGGAAGGTTCAACAATAACCTGTTCCCTGGCACTGACAGCTGCCTTTCCTCTGGAAAGGACACCACTCAGGACCAGGCTGCCAGTGACCTATTAAAAGGTTTCTCAGAGGTTTCCCAGCTCTTAGAAGATGGGGCTCAGTTCAGCCAAATGTTGAAGAATGGGGCCTTTCTTCCTCTGCTCTCTAGGAGAGCTACCTGGACTAACATCCCTCCAAGCCCCTTTGAATCTCTCCTWTGATTTTGCTCTTGAAGGGCTGAGCAGTTTGGTTATTCAGGAGCTGTCAGTAGCACAGGAGACTGGC